AACAATAAGATCCGATTATTACTCGGATCTGGGTTAAAAGATGGATTTCGGGTTCGGATGTCTGGTTGGGTTGGTAATTATACAGATTCATTAAAGGTTATTTAGTATTTAACCGGTTTTCGAATTAAAAAAAATCATAACAGAAATTAGTTTTATATTCGGGGTGTTTTTGAATAAAATTTTAAAGGGAAGGGCTTGTAAGGTTACAATCCACCCTAGCAGCACCCTCCCAGAAGAGTTTTGGCGATTTCAAGTGTTAGTGGAGGATCAAATTGAAAACCCAATCCCAGAATAGGGATCCATCGAGCCGAAAAATGTCATCGGAGATTGAGGTTGTGGAAGAAGTGGAATCGAAAGCCAAGGAGAACGGGGAATCGAGCTCAATCGGGATTGAAGAGGAGAGTTTGAGGAACGACGTGTATACTGCGGCGGCTTATGGTGATTTGGAGAAGCTTCATAGATTGGTCGACTCTGATGGTTGCTCTCTCTCGCACCCCGACGGCCTTGGCTACTATGCTCTTCAATGGGCGGCTTTGAACAACCGCACCGCCGTTGCTCAGTACATTATCGAGGTCCAACCAAAATTCGATCCGATTTTTTTTCTTCTTTAATTACATTACTCTGGAGATTCCTCATTGTTTCCATTGGCTATGCTTCTTTTTTTTTATGTTTTCTTCTCAAGTTTCCAAAATTGTTTCGATTCCAGCATGGTGGAGATGTAAACGCTACAGATTATACTGGTCAGACTGCATTACATTGGAGTGCTGTTCGTGGTGCTATACAAGTTGCAGAACTCCTACTCCAAGAGGGTGCAAGGGTAGATGCAGCTGATATCAACGGCTATCAGGTTTATCTCATCTTTAACTTGTCTGCTACTTTTGCCATTGCTTCAAACTCCCACTCAATATACACTACTAGAGTTAGCTTTTCCACGGCTGGGACAATGACCTTCTATCTAATCGCATTGCTAAAGGGAAAGGTTATTCCACATGTACTCGTTTAAAAATGTTATTCCACAGTCTTGAGAATTTCTTCATTCAAATTCAGGTCTAAAATCTAAATAAACGAGAGTCTCAGCTAGAATTGATCTACAAGTTTATTAATTTCGACAAGTGACCTACATTAATGAGTAGGTCAAAGATTGTAATTTTTGTTTCGTGGATCAGATCATTTTGGTTTTTGTTCTCAAGATTGTCCTCCTGTGTACTCGAT